AGGCGGTATTCGAGTTCATGCCTAGTTTCGTGGGATCGGAGATGTTGTAAAGAGACCGTTGATGGAGATGGGGATGATAACGAGAACGACGAGGGGGATGAGCATGAACAGAACGGGGTGTCCGCACAGGTAGAGAACGACGCGGACGCGGACGCGGACAATGATGCTGACGATGGCGGTATTGACGCTGCCAAAGATGCAGGGGATCAATGACCGACAAAATAGATGGTAAAAAATTTCCCCATCAATTACATCTCGTTCCAAGCGGGTCATGATCAGAATACAGGACTTCAAGACAAAGTACTGGAACTGTTAGTTTACTGCTATATTACACTGCACTGCATGTCATCGTGGTTCGTCCACCCTCTATAGCTGCCTGCTTTCCAGCACAGCACTATGACGACAGGGAAAAATCGGTAGGAGGAATACTGTATTTGTTGCACGTTGTAGAGCAGGGCCCCTCCAAATCTAATCGATATGAACGATTAAGAAAAAGATATGGTGAATTCTGCCGACCGCCTGCTTCCGAGGACGCCCCAGTCGATACCTATTTGCCTGACATTTCCCGTGTTCGCTGATCAAGAAAACATACATGCATGAGTTGACGGCCGTCTCGCACAATCTCGCACCTTGTCATATCACATCGCATCACATGACGGAACAGCTCTCACGCATTGTCTCGAGGTAGCCGGCTTCCGAATCGTCCTCCTCGTTCAGCGCGCCCGGTTTCCTCTTCATGCCCTTGACGGTCATGGTCTGTTCGCCCGCCCCGTGCCACCATTTCATGACTTGCATCGCTTCCCCGTCGACGTCCACCGCGTCGATTCTCCATCGTCCGCCACTCACCTCCACCTGCGTTTTACCGGGCGGGAAATGGAACTCGGGCAAGAAAATCTCCGTGGGGACAGATTCCTTTGTCGCACTGTCTGAAGTCAACGAGAAGGTGAATGTCACGGATTTCAGATCGAAGCCGTAAGACACGACGTCGCCGACGGTTGCGATCGGAGACGGCCGGACCCACGCTTCGGCAGCACGGAAACCAACTGGACCCTCTGTGCCTCTCAGAGGTGTAGCTTGCGTCTGGTTGATCTGGGGAGACTTTAGCGCGTCTTTGAGGTTTGACGGGTTTATTGTGGTCGAATCGGACAGTGTTGTGCTTGAATACGAAGTTGACTCCCGGCCTAAGGATGCTGTGGAGGGGTTCGTAGTGGGAAGGGTCGACAAGGTGGAGGCAGTTGGAAGGAGAGGATCATCGACCGAGACGACAGAGAGATCTTCGCCATTCCATAAATCTCCCCATTGGTGATTGTTCTGGGAATGTTAGCAATCGAAAGTGATGGGCTGGCTTGTCTCCTTACCTCAACCACATAAGTCCATAAGGTATACCCCTGAGAGCCCGAGCCCTCCAAGGCGAAATGGTTGGCATCCAAGGCTGAGATCTGGCTCGAATAGTCGCCGGACTTGTAGGCGTATTTATCATCCATATCGAAAGGAATTCCAATCTCGGTGAAGAGCGTAGGGTGGTCTCCGAGATAAGTCACGCCTTCCTCACGTATCGCCTTCAACTGGTCCCGTAGACAGTTCCTGATGGCTGTCTCACCAAGCCGAACAGCGAACACGGGGTTGGAGTATTTGTGACGCAGGATCCCAAAGACGTCCACATTGTAGTATTTGTTCCAATGCTTCTGAAGTAGCGTGATGCCGTCGTAATAATGAGTGGAGAAGACCAGCCTCTTGTCGTCGTCGATAGTGCCCTTGATGCTCGGAGGTATTTCCAGAACAGCTGATTGCACCAGGATCAAACAATCTTTGTGGATCGCTCGCAGGGCATCTCTATACTTCCGGAAATGCTGCATATAGTATATGTTGGTATATTTGAGATAGTCCAACTTCTCTCCCGACTTGGGTATCGAGGCGAAGTAATCGGGCTTCAAGAGTTGGTCCTGGGCGGGATCCCAGACGCCATTCTGAGCCCACAGGCACTCGCCGAGTCTCCAGCCCGGATCTCGCTTCCAACCGTACTGTGTGTCGTCGAAATCTTTCGACAGCCACGCCGATACGCCTTCCGGATCCACCAATTCCCGACCGCTCTTGTATGGCCCGAACGTGCTGAACTCGTAGACGTCGACCTCTGCAGCACGGCCCGATCCCGTGAGAATGGATTGCCACGGAGTTGGCATTGTTCCTTTCCTCATTTTGAGCTCTTCCGGGAGCCCATTGAGATCTTCCCAACCAATCAACCCTCGATGCGGCTCGTTCATTGTTTCCCATCCAATGATACATTCATCCTCCAGTCCGCCCGCGTCGTGTATTCTCTGAGCCAGGTGTGCACAAGCGGCAATAAAATGGTCCGTCAAGTAGTCCTGGATGTTTTTGCCGTCTATGATGGCGTTTGGTGCAAAGTCCCGACCAGCATAGAACAGGGTGAAGGTAGTCTCGGTAGCCAACCGGGTGTAATTCGTCGGCCACAGCATCTTTGGAAACTGTGCAGGATCCGGCCATGTGTTATGAACAACCGCAGCTTGATTCGCCGCAAAGGTCTCCGGGTCCAGTCCACAAGCATGTAGGGTCCAAAGAGGTGCGCCAGAGCCGCCGGTAAATCTGGACCAGACATCCTGATGAGGATCCATAAAAACATAGAGACCATAGGACTTTGCTATCCGCAGGATCTTGATGGTGTGGTCTATAAACTCCTCGTCGTATTGGCCCGGTCCAGCATGTTCCAGAGCTTCCCAAGTGAAGAGGTACCGAATAACGTTGTATCCCCATCTCTTTATCCTAGCAAAGTGTACATGTGCCTCCTCTTCTGTGAAAGGGCGTCCCACGAACGAGACATTTTTGGCGTCGAAGAAGTCCTTCTGTTCGTGCGAGGGTTGGCTCGGGTGACGGGGAAGTTTGCAGTCTCCGGCGACGTTGATGCCGCGAAAGGTCACCTCGCGTCCTTGGGAATCTCGAAATCGGACTCCGTCGATTGAGAGTCCACGGGTCGTCATTGGGAAGCGAGGTGAATACAGGGAATGTGGTGCGGGAGCATGCGGTACGAACAGGTGGTGAGGGGGATCGAATTGTTGTTCAATGCCGACTTTTGTAGAGGCAGTGCGGCGTCAACGGCAGTGACAAGACAGAGAATGCAAGCTTCCGGAACTCAGGTCTGCCTCATAGTCGATTGACACGGAAAGGTGTTCGTGGGATGTAATGGCCTTCAACTTTCTGAAGGAGCATATACCCGAACGTTTGGATCGGGGATAAAGGACGATGCTGGTGATTCGCTCTGCATGATGACGAAGCATGACTTGCCAGTTGCCCATCCGCAGGTGGCACCAAAAATGAAATGGCCTCTAATGCTGGTCTCCATATTATTGAATTCTAGCCTCACAAGCCTTGGTGGGGGCGAACCTTCGATCCAGACATGCAATTCCACGTTTTGGGATCTTTAGAGGTCGACGTCTAGAATGCCCTCCGGCAAAATAAACAGTCTCCTGCGCCCTATGGTATACTGCCATTCCCTACACCATCTACATATAGTACATGCATCTTTCCCTTTTCCTCACGAATAACTCTTCCGGTCTGCCATCCGATACTTCCAGCATGGGGTATTTGGAGTTTGCCTTCACTCTCCCTCTGCTTTGCGGGATGAGTCTGCCCTGTCAAAGTGCTGAGAGACTCTCTCTTAAGCAAGATGGTTCTGTCAACTGCACGTGTACCTCCAGCATGCCTCACGCTCTCATCGGTCAGTAGGCAGTCTTTGTATCCCTTGACGCCGTTGATCGAGCATTAGAGGATCCGGTCCTGGAGCAGCAGCCAGGCTTGTCCTGCTGATTGTGGTCTCGAGGTCCAAAATCGTTGGTTGGAAGGATGCCATAAGTTTCCAATTGCATGCGAGATCCTCTCCGCTTTCATCGACCCTAGTATCCGACTAAGCGTCACCAAAAGTGAGGATGCCATCCAAGCTGTGACTTGCGTGTAATTTTCCTTGTCAGACCTTGGCCAGCGATATGATTTTCAGGCTTGAAAGGCTGCGTCCCCACAGCACCACGAACTTCCGGTGCTCAAGAAGGGCCTGGTTCGTCCTCGTGCGCAAACTGAGTAAGGAATTCGTCGTTGTAGAGATCCTGTGCTGACGGCCTCTCTTCCGGAAGCCAACGAAAAATCTTGCGAGCGAGAGCAAGCAGGAGTTCCCTGTCCTCGCCCTCTAGACTCGTCTCACGGGACTCAAGATTCTGCTTGGGAATCTGTGTCTCAGCAATCCAGTTGCCTTTGTCCGTTAGTGAGGCTCTCCCAAGAAAAATAGAGACTAGCAGCTCTAGAACCCGGCGTCCTTACCTTCTGAGTCCCAGTATTGACGACATCGATCGCTGCGGTGCAAAAACTCCTTTGGTGGAGGTCCCATGAGAGAGACCATTTCAGCAAAGTGGAGCTCGTCGTTCAGATGGCCGTCCTTGACGGCATGAAAGAGATTTTGGCTTTCGAACAGGCTCCAAATCTTGAAAAAGTGTCAATTTCGACATGTGGAATGAACTTTTCAGGTGCTGCTATACGTACCATGACTCCAACGGACCAGATGTCGATCTTCGAGTCCCATTCTGTCCCAGCAATAATCTCGGGCGCTCGGTATACACCTGGCATAACATCGCCAGAGTGCTTCTGCTCCGGTTCACCCAAGCGTGCAGCTCCGAAGTCGGTAATAACTGGCGAGCCGTACGTCGTTGGCATTACCCAGGAAATATGAATGGTGCGATCCGCTAGAACCTTCCGCGGCGACGGGGTATCTTGTTCTGCCTGCTCGACCTTGGACATTGCGATAGGGTCGACTCTGACAAGGATGTTGTTGGGCGATAAATCTATGATACTCCTTAGCCTCCAACAAGCTGTGGATGTGTCCAGATATGGGGCCAGACCTGTATGCACCACCCCTGCCTGGTGCATGAAGTCCAGGCCCGTCACAATCAAATACAAGTACTTCTGCAAGAGTATCTTTGGGAGAGCCCTATCATCAAATACATCTCGCAGATTGGTCAAGGTAAGGCCTAGTGTTTCGAAGATTATACATTGGTGAGATCCACAAGGCCCTCTGATACAGAAGTCGTCCAGCGACACACGCAGCATTCCCTTACCAGGGTGATCCGTGTCGATGGACTCAATATGGCGAGAAATCACCAGCTCCTGCGTATCATCTTCTCCGATGATGCAGACCTTGACAGTGACTAAGGCGTTTTTACTTGATAGTAGTTAGCGGGATAGAACGGAAAAAAACACGACAAGAATGTTGACTTGCTGCAGATCCCGGCATAGCCAGACTGTGGAGGCTGTGCCAAAGCCCAGCTTTGCGACAACCTGATACCTCGCCTCAAAGACTTCGCCTAGTCGAACGGGATAGTACTTTTCAGCCTTGTAGCCAACAAGTCTCTCCTCCTCGAACTTTTCATGCTCTGGGAGGGTAACGAAACCGTCAGTCGGAAAAGTGCGAGGTTGAATAGACATGCTCTGAGCAGAGCTTGCCATCCGCACCTGCCCAGGTCGCCTGGGAAGTCGGGGAGTGGCCAGGTGATTCCAGTATACAATTGGAGACCTAGACCAGGGATGCAATCGGGCCTTTATGAGACGTGGGAAAGCCAAGGTCATCATCGTTCTGGCTAGAAAGGTAGCGGTCGAATGACAAGGACAGGAAAGAGCGACGGAAAAAGTTCTGCTGCAGCTCGCCTTCAGGGGGACCGTATCTGGACGACCAACCAACCCCCCCACCACCTCGAGGCGGCGTCTCAAATGCGGCTAAGCCACGCAGTGTTCTGTTGGCAGAGTGGAGATCCGTAATCGACATGCAGCATCACATGGCTCTGACGGGGGACAGTCAGGTACTCGAGGTTGACTTAACTACGAAATGAAGAAAAAAGCTGGATGAAGGCTGAACCATGCGAAGGGGGAGGACTGTCACGTGCTTTCAGACCAAGCTAGCCCCTTTTGTCTCTCTATTCGGTCACTCGTGAACTGGCTTCCTCCTCTTACATATCTCCTGTGAAAATTCATCGACATTGAAGGAGCCCAGGTGCAGACCGCCTTACTGTTGCAGCCGCACCATCCAACATGAAGTCAGGGCTGCCGTTTGCTTGACAGGTATGTTGCCCTAACCGGCCTCGTAACATTGGGACCCTTGCTTTGCAGACCACTGGGGAGCAGCTCCTGAATAATTGTATCACATTACAGGGTGCACTCAAACTCGCTGCTCCTCTTGTGGACGCAAATCAACCGGGCACTGTTGAGGCACGACTCTGAGACCGATCGTTCAGCTCCACGATCCAACCGTCCGATAAGCCTGGAAATCGCAATGAACTACATGCAGCAGCTGCAGCTCGATCACCAAGCGTAGCGTCGGAAGCCGTGATCAGTTGTTCGTCGGCAAGCAGCGCCGTCGTGGAGGTTGCGAGGCTATCCTGGGGGTCTGGGGTAGGAGGCAGTGCTCACGCTTCCTGCGTGCTACGACATATTGATCCGCATCCATCTATCATTCTACGCTAGCGACGCTGTTTCTTCCATCGCACCATCGTGGCTCCCGACCCTGGCAAATTCAGAGGCCGAAGATGTATACTGGCTGTCTGATTCATCATCGTGTCACGCGAGGACACTTTGCTCGTGTAACAGATTCATGTGTCTTCATCCCCTCCGTAAGCATACATTATCCTGTTCTTAACTCTGTATATTCATACTAATCACCATTCCTCAGCAGAAGTTTGCACTTGTCCTTCTCCTGCCTAAACTCCCTCTATCTTGGAAATGCAGAGAACTGCCCCTCTTCTGATCAAGTATGTGGGTACCACAACCAAGCAAGCGCTTCCGGTGCCGTATCAGAGAACGACCGATATAGCAACCAGTTCAATGGAGAAGAAGGTTAGTGGGACAGTCCTGTCGCACACCAGACCCTCTCGAGCAACCTTGTGCTGACTTCAGGTGCTAGTATTCAAAACTTCAGCAGGCCAAAATCCAGTACCATCCCACTTGTCTGGCTTGCTCGGGAGTGCTAGATGCACCGTACCACGGCTAACCACGAGGCTGTGACGGCTTAGGGGTTCCAAACCTCATCTCTCGCTGAAGGACCCGAGTGACGAGAAGTCTGTCATTACCATCAGTTACTACACGGAAAAGGGAACTCGAGTCACATCGGTCCACGTGCACGAAGACGGCACTTTTATCGAATTCCCGTCTCGAAACGCAGCGAAAGGCAAATGAAAATGATTGCTGAAAACGCGAAGGGAATTTCTAAAACATATCCCAGAATCTGGCGGGCATCGAGGTCTCTAGCAGAACCGTGGCAAAGAAAGATACCGGATAGGTGGTACATTTCATGTCGACAATTATGCTTACTTCACACGTTTCTCCAGTTTCATGCTCCTTTGCGCTTGCAAACGTCTGAAGCTTTCCTCAGACTTGTTCGAGGCGATCCACACATGTCACAGAGTGTTAGATTGCCGGGCATGTGTTGGACACGTCCACTGAATCGACCAGTCAGCCCTTGGGCTTGTGACTATCGCTCAAGCCGTCCTCCCGTGGAAAGGTACCCTGGCTGTAATCACTTCTCGTTGCACTCCCTTTTGATACCGTTGTACGTGAGCCAAAGAAAAGGTCATCGTGTCCTGTTCCATAATACCCACTGCAGGTGATTCAATCTATTGTATTGGATTTTGGGGTTAGAGAACAGTTATTGTCCACCAAGGTTACCAGACCGAGGAGGTGTACATCACAAGAGGCACGACAATCCATCTTCTTCTCTGGACATCTTTGTGACTACGAGGCCTCTTAGCCTTTCCGACCCTTGGCGACGATGCCCACCCACTTCCACACAACCGGACCAGACCTGTACTTCTCCTTCACGTAATCCATGATGGTTCGTCGTGCACTCTCCTTGGCCTGTCCAAACTCCTCGTCTGTCTTCAAAGAACCCTGGTTCTTCCAAAACTTCTCAATCATCATGACCAGGGAGTATGGCAGCATGGCTTCAACCTCTGCGACGGTCATGGTCGTAGTGTTCTCCGTTACTTGAGCTTCGACATCGCAAAAGCCACATTCTTTCAGATGTGACTTGACGTCAGCGATACTGTCCCAACGTTCCGGTGCCTCGGAGAATGCGTGTCGAAGAGCTTCGTCCGATGGGAAGGGGGGCAATGACGGATCCCTCGCGATACCTGCACGGTAGTCTGCGAACCACGGGACTTCTTGCCAGGTACTGCAGCTCAGAGTTCCACCTGGCTGTAAAATGCGGTGGCACTCTTGGATGCCAGCGAGAGGATTGGGTAGGATTTGAGGCCCGAAGTTGAAGAATATATGCGTAAAGTGCGAAGAGGGAAACTTTGTGTCCTGCCAGCCTCTGTATCAGTCCTAGTTATTTCAATAGAAAGGGCATGGCACACCATGGCATCCGCTTTTACTACGGACACATTGTTCCATCCAGAGACCTCGACGCGCCTTGATACATTGGAGATCATGGCGTCTGAGATATCAGCGCATGTGAGGTCAAGTCTGGACTTGTTTTCTGTGGAGAGCCGTGACATGAGGTGGGAGGAAACGACGCCGCTCCCGCACGCCTGATCAAGGACAACGAGGCGGGAATTGCCCTCGGGTGGGAAGTTCGCTCTCCGGAGGAGCTCTTCTGCGAATGGGCCCATGATAGAATCGGCTTGAGAAAACATCTTGTCAAATTGCTGGGGATCCATGTTGTGCTATTAGAAGCGGGACCGGAAAGAGAGTAAGTTTGGTACTTCAATGGATTGTTTAGTGTATAGCCTGGATATCGAACATATGGACAGCCCACTTCCAGCGAAAAGAGTAGGAAAGATGTAAGTCCTGTTGGCTGTCTGAGCCTTTAAGACCTCAATTTTCTTTTAATCGCCTGTTTCTCCAGGTGCATACTCTCCGAAGCCAGATCGGACAGATATGAAAAAATCTCTCCGAGCTCTTTTTAGGCTCGCAACCCTGCAGTGTAGGCACTCAAAATGTTTCCGAGGGCCTTTCTGCTTGAGGAAGAGCTAGGAATTTGTCGAATCGAGGTATGTTGTAAACGATGAGCAGGTTTAGCAACCAGGGTCAACCCAAGTTTGGAGTCTATAACCGGTTGGCAATCTAACTTACTTTGTCATCGATACCTGATCCAGTAAGGGTTCTCCCCTTCCAAAGGTCCTCGTTATCGTCTATTTCTCCCTGAAGGACTAAGTCTCATCACATCAAACTGAGGTCACATAGGACAACCACAATGTGTTCCTTGTTGTGTTAGCGGAAAGCTTGAGGCTTGGATGATATTGATTCCATGGCTAGCTGTGGAATACAGGACCAAGGACTGGATTTAAGACAGCATCCATTTGTATCGCTGTCCCAGGAGTTATTCAGCCAAGCGGAGGATGGAGCCACATGAGCCTCCCTTGGTCCATGCTGCTCCAAGTAAACGGAATCTCAAAGTGGTTGTCTGCGGGGGTTAACAGTGGGACTGGGGACTGACGGCCCATTGCCTCGAAATCCCCAGATCTTCACAGCTTGTTCTCCGAATAGTAGACTACTGTCCCCAAGTACGCATTGTAAAAAGGACCAAGTGAAAGGCTCGACATCAAGTGGATAGGGAATATCGAGAACGTTTAAAGTTGAAGTGAGAAGAGCACAAAAAGCCAAAAGTTTCTCCGTAGCAAAGACTTCGGCGGAGCATAATCTGCAAAAGATCATTTCTCACACGTGACGGTCACCATGATTTCATCTTGCTCGGCCTTGTCGTTCACAATCACGGACAGGCAGTTCAAAGAAGACTCCACTACCAGGTCAAGCTACCAGTATGAGAAAGACGGTCTTCCTACGGAAAAGGGGTAAAAACGGTCTAGAGACCTCGTGGCCCAGGTGAGGCAGTAAGCACAAACTGGCTTGGCCAGACCGTTCGCGCCAACACTGACTGGCGCGAGACAAACTTGTTTGATTTCTTGTTAAGTCGCGGCGCGGAGGGTGTTGGATCACTAAATAATTCACAATGGCTTCGTCCAAGGCTGCTTTGAAAGCCATCAAGGCATCCTTGGATACCAGTCAATTCGCCAAAGCTGCTGATCAGGCCGAAGATTTGCTCAAGCAAGATGACAAGAACTACATCGCGTTACTCTTCCTCGGGTTCGCAAGAGAGAAACTTGGAGATTTGGAAGCCGCAGCGAAGGCTCTGCACAAAGCTGCAACTGTCAAGCCCGACGATGTCCAGGCCTACAAAGGGCTGGTAACCCTGTACGAAAAACAAGGGAAAGCCAAATTGGATCAATACCATGATGTGGCCTTCAGGTTAGCAGAGCTATACGCTCAGCAAGATGACAAAGCGCAATGTCAGAACGTTATCGACAAATACGAACTGTTTGCCAAAAAGCATGGGAGCCGATCACAGTATCGACGTGCGCTCGAACTCATTCTACCGACCTCCAGCCTCTACCCGACACTCGAAGGCCGTGTCTTACAACCAAGCTTGGCGTATCAGCGCGTCTTAGAGTCAGCGGAGGCTGAAGAGAAGGAGTGGATCAACACGCAGATTGGAGAAAGAAGGACACGGCTAGGAGCAAAGATTGACCAGGTGACCCGACAAGTTAAATGCGAGGCTATAAGCAGATTCCAGGTCGAAGAAAAGTATGCAGCTCTCATTGACTGGACAAGGGACGATGACGCTCGCCATGACCTCGAGGAGAAACTCTTTCAGCGCATGTTCGACAATCTGCTCGTCTTGCCGCAGGAATCTAAGCCTGACCGACGGGATAAGGTGTTGAATATGGCGAATGGCATGGTCATCATCAAACACCCTTTTCACCTGGCCTGGAAAGTTGCCCTTGAGTGGGTTGATGCAGAGGAGCTGCAAGATTGGGACGTTAACATCTTTCGCGAGTATATTAGCTTCTTCCCAGACGATGGCTTGAGCAAAGTTCTACGTGGCTTTCTCGACAGTGATGCCTCGCCGTTTCCACATCTGCCAGTTGAGGAGAAGGAGGGCGAAGAGACCCCGCAGAGGCTGAGCGAAGCCGACCAACTCATTCTAATGAATGAAGGTATTGAACGCTGTCCAGAATCCTTGCTTGGCCACCGAATCGTGGCACATGTCTATCTCGGCTTGAAAGAGTGGGAGAGCGCTGTCGACATAGGACGAAAGGCGCAGAAGTTGCACTTGGATGCTCAACGGCGCTACGCTATAGACTTGCAAAACAGCCTCGACGGCGTCAATCTCATTCTTGCAAATGCCTTGATCACATTCCAGTCTCCACGACATCATCCCGAAGCGAAGACATTGTTCGAGGACATTCTCAGGCGTAAGCCCAAGCTTACTGCTGCCTTGATGGGTGTTGGCTTGATATACGAGGACGATGAAGATTATGCGGAGGCAGTCAAATTCTTCCTCCAAGCAGCCGAGCGTGATCCAGATAATGCCAGGATCAAGATCGAGCTTGCTTGGTGTCGAGCACACAATGGACAGCTCAAAGAAGGCTTGCAAGAGCTTCAGGAGGTGCTCTCAGCTGTCGAATCGGAGAAGCAGCAGAACTTGACCATGAAAGCCATCACGCTCTACCGAATTGCGTACTGTTACTGGCACATTGACACTTCCGCCGCCGCCCGCAAATCCAAATCAGGGCCTTATCAGTTTCTCATCGCGTCCATCAAAGCGGACCCTAGTTACGCCCCCGCATATACTCTGCTGGGGATCTATTTCCAAGACTACGGCAAAAGCAAAGCACGGGCCCGAGTCGCCTTGCAGAAAGCATTCGAGCTCTCCACCTCAGAGCTCGAGGCTGCTCACCGCCTCGCAAAGGCTTTTGCGGACAACGCAGAATGGGATCTCGTCGAATTGGTCGCCCAACGCGTTGTTACGTCAGGTAAAGCCAGGCCAGCCCCAGGGTCGAAGAAGAAAGCTTATAGTTGGCCCTTCACGGCGCTGGGCGTGGTGCAGATGAACAAACAGCATTATTCGCAGGCGATCCTTTCCTTCCAGCAGGCCCTGAGAATTACACCAGACGATTACCACTCCTGGGTCGGACTCGGTGAGAGCTACCACAATGCAGGGAGGCATGTTGCTGCCACACGGGCGTTTGCAAAAGCTGCGAGTATTGAGCATGGTCTGTCGCCCGAAGAAACTTGGTTCGCCAAATACATGCTTGCCAATGTTCAACGAGAGATGGGATCCTATGACGAAGCCATTGCTGCATACCGAGAGATCCTGGTCCTGAAACCGAAGGAATTTGGAGTGCTTATCGCGTTGCTCCAGACGATTTCCGAGAGTGCCTGGGCAAAGGTTGCGCTGGGTATGTTCGGCGAGGCGGCAAAACTTGCCTCCTCTGCAAATGAATTGGCGAGCCAGATCGCATCGCAGGGGACGGACGTGTTCAATCTGTGGAAATGTGTTGGGGATGCTTGCTCCGTCCTTGGACATGTCAAGCTATATGCGAAATCGGCAGACGTACAAACGGTGTCTGATTTGCTGCAAATCTCTCTCCAAGACGACTTCAACACTCTCACTGATATTGACAAGGTTGATCTCGAATTTCTCGCGGCCACCATCGACTCTGCCAATCCTACGGCTAATGCAGACAAATATCTCGTAGCTGCAATCCTAGCTCAGAAACGCGCCATCCACGCTTGTTCCTCCGACCAACTTGCCCAAGCTGTTTCGTGGTACAATCTCGGCTGGGCAGAGTACCAGGCGTACGTTTCAGGCGGTGCGTCCCTCAGTCTACAAGGCAAGAGACCTCGCAGATTCCTCAAAGCGTCAATGGCATGCTTCAAACGGGCCATCGAGCTGGAAGCCGGCAACGCGGACTTCTGGAACGCATTGGGTGTGGTGACTGTGACGCTTAGCCCCAAGGTCTCGCAGCATTCATTTGTGCGAAGTCTTCATCTTAACGAGAAGAACGCGCGGACTTGGACGAATCTTGGAGTGCTCTATTTATTGAACAACGATGCTCAGCTCGCTGGTGAAGCTTTCACGCGCGCGCAATCAGAGGATCCGGAATACGCAGAGGCATGGATCGGTCAAGGGTTTCTGGCGACATTGTTTGGAAGCCTAAATGAAGCGCGAGGCCTATTCATGCACGCTTTCGAGATTGCGGATTCCTATGTCCTGCCTGCAAAACGCCACTATGCACTGTCCGCATTTGACCATTTGCTCAAGGATCCTTCTCGGTCGCAGGAGGTCGCAGCTCTATTGAAGCCGCTCTTCGCCTTGCGCCAATTTCATGCCCAGGAGCCTAGCGACATGATTGCGACTCATTTGATGGCTCTGTTTGCGGAGCGGGCAGGCGATCATTCTACAGGTGTCGTGATCTTGCAGGAAGTCTGCGATGCTGCAGAAGCCGAATACGAAAAGTCCGAGTCGGACGAATACCTGGTCAGGTTTGCGCAGGCAAAGTCAGATCTCGCCCGCGCACAGCTCGCATGTGGCGAGTACGATGAAGCAATTTCCAATGCGCAGACGGCGCTTGATCTTTCCGGTGAACCCGGTGATCTTGGTCCTTCATATGCAGAAGCTCGCCGAAAATGGCGACTTTCAGCGCAACTGACGGCAGGCCTTGCACACAGTCACTTAAAGCAGATCGAAAGCTCGATCAAAATGTTCGAAGTGGCGCTTCAGGAATCCGAGCGCGAACCAGACGTTGTCTGTATGCTGGCCCAGGTCCTGTGGGCAAAAGGTGGCGACGAGGAGAAGGAAGCGGCAAGATCGCAGCTGTTTGACGTGATTGAGAACCATCCGGGACACGTTCAGGCTGTCGCTTTGCTCGCTGTCACTGGACTGTTGGACAATGATGAAGATGTGCTGGAAGCTGTCGAGGAGGACCTCAAGGCCTTGAGGCGTGGGGACGAGATCGGTGTGCTGGACAAGATTCGCGTCAGCACAGTCCTTGCTGGCATCGTCGGGTGCCGGCATCGGGAAACCTCCTCCGATCAAGTCGACGAAGTTGCGGTGGTTTCAGATGCGCTCAACGCCATCATGCTTGCACCGGGGCAGCCTCAAGGCTGGCTTGAACTTGCGCAAGCAGTGGGCGACGCGGACGACGGTGCTTACGCTGCCGAGATGGCGGTGCTCAATGCCGAGAGACAGATCCCGCCAGGCGGCAATCTCACCCCGGAGGATTTGGCGAGGGCTTACGAAGGAACCGGCAGAGCGGAGGACTTTCTCAAGGCGAAGATGCTTGCGCCGTGGAAGTTGGAAATTGCTGGTGAAGCTTTGTAAAGGGTGGATGGGAGAGAAACTTCTTGTTGTGCCTTGGTTACCAAGATCCGGCTCGTGAATCGCTACTAGAGCTAAATCGTTGGGTTATCGAGAGCGCAAGAGCGCGAGAACATGCATTCTCTTGCCGCCGCGCATGCTTGTAGACATACATGGTAGATACCAAATCGATACCAATTGAGAACTCTCAATTTCAAAGTGAAAAGAAAGCAGAGTAAAAAAAAACGAGTTTTTTCATCTTTCATCCCCGTCCTTTCTATTTCTCGTTCACCCACCTCTTGTTAACCACCACCCCGAGCGGCATTTTCCTCCCTCACCAGCGCGGTCAACCTCGCTTTCCTGTCCTCCTTCCATTTCCTGTCCCAGGCCTCGACCTTGCCGCCGAGCACGACGCAGGTCTCGGGCGTCAACAATACCATGCCTCGTCTCACGACCGTATCCGGTCTGAGGAGGAGTTTGCACCCGATCAACATCCCCGGATCTTCGACGGGGATCGTCGGTGCCGTGCCGCCGCCGGATTGATTGCGCGCTGAAGCTGGGAGGGCGGCCGACGCGGATGTCGACAGTCCGATTTTGGGGACCTTGACTAGCTCGAAGGCCAGCACTTTGGTGCCTCGGGCGTCTTGGACGAGGAGCTTGTGCGGACCGACGCTGAGGGGTTTGCTCGCGGAAGACAAAGTTGGAGCGGCGGTGCCGTTGACTCCACCGAGGGCATCGCCGTCGTTGTTGTTGTTGTCACTCCCGAGACCGTTGACCGTCCTGATGACTTCGCGGCCGCGGACCTCCTCGCCCCGCTCGACCCGCTCGATCGCCTCGACCTGGCTCCACTTGCTACTCCCCACGTCCAGAACGTCGAGGACCTGTGCGATCACCGTGCCTAGCAGTCGTCGCTCTTTGACGTTGACGTCGCCGATGTCTTCGGGGAAGGCTTCTCCCGGGCTTGTCGGCGAGACCGTGGTCGTGAGGTCGCTGGCCAGAATGCGGAAGTGCGCGGTCGATACGAGGGCCGGGAGGGGTGGCGGGTTTGGCCCGCGCGACGTGAGGAATGTGTTGAGCCATTGCGGGTTGACGGGGATGTTGTGCCGTGTTTGGAGTGCCGAGGAGACTTGATTGTGCAGGAGGTGCAGAGTCGGCATTTTTGAAGGGAGTCAACTTAGGATTGCGGCCTCATGTCCTTTTTTCTTGAGGGGGTTGGTGCCAATTCATGTACCATGTTTGTGACCGTCAAGGGGACCTGGCTGCCGGAGGAGATAGGGCGCTCGGTGATATGAAATTGTCTAGTCCCGCATCATGACTGGGCATCGACAAGGGCAGATATGTTTTTTGCAGAGTAGTTGAGACAGTGTCTCTGGGGCAATGTCGTCCAAAGCACAGTGTGATTAATAGAGTGGACGACCATCTACTTGGTATGTCGGACATTCAAGAGCGAGTAAAATTGGTTGAGCCGACAAGGCTGAGGAACTACCAATTATGAACGCCAAGACAAGGCTGTGAGTTTGTCCAACTAGAGACAAGCCTCACTCCCTGTTCTTCTGCTTCTCCGCCAGCCCTACTTCCTATGGGTTTCACACTCTATCATTGGAGTCTTATGAATTTGGTCAATATGCATTGACTCATGAGGACTCCTTTACGAAACCATCTCTGCCCTGTGCTAATGCCGTTTATCTTGTCATGACAAAGCTGGCTCTGACTTTCCATCCTTTTCATACCACGCTGCTCCGTTTGGAGTCGATCCATTCAGATTAAATGGCCGCTGGCACAATCAGCATTTGGCCACCGTCAGGGTGGAGAAGCTGGTTGTTCAGGAACAATCCCCCCTTGCCGACCAAGTACAGGATGGTCGCTGCCATGTCCGCATCGCCGCCGCCTCGACCTAACGTGGTTGGGATTTCAGTCAGTCAAGTCCCGTAAACTCGTCGTGATGATCGAAGCGAAGTCCATGCTTTTTTTAGTGATGCCTTTATTTTGGACAAGCAGACACTATCAGAATCGTAGGCGCAACTCACCCGCAGGATTACCGATCTCGGAACTCAGTTCGCTCTTCTGGGTCTCGTCGCTTTCACCCGTCGTCATCTCGCTGGGAAAAATGCCCGGGGCAATCTGGTTCACACGCACTTTCGTCTCGGCCAGCGTGCTTGCCAACATGCGCGTCAGGTGGATGAATCCGGCTTTGCTGCTGGCATAGGCGAATTGTCCGTTGCTCGAACCTTTCATGAGGCCACTGATGCTGGTGACGTTGACGATGCTGCTGGTGTAGCCAGGGGTTACGTCGCGGCCTTTGCTGAGAAGTGGAAGCTGAGGAATTGCGTTAGCGCCACGATGCTAGCACTCTTTGGAAACAGTGAGGTACTGTAAGGGACGGGAAGGGCTTGCGCCGCCGCAACATTCATGTTCGTGTTTCTGATCTTGTTTTCCTTGGGACGTGCGAGGAAGGCTGAAAACACTTACAAATGCGGCAGACATGAAGAACTGGGCCGTGATGTTTGTCAAGAACGTCTCCTGCCAATCGTCGACCTCGGATTTCAGCATGTGCTGCGAAATGCTCTCGGCAGATTTCGTGTCCGGCTTTCCTGCGGCGGAGAACTTTGTGTGGTCGTCGCGAGCGATGCCGGCGTTGTTGACCAGCAAGTGAACACCGCCCGACTCCTGCTTGGCCACCTCGTCCGCGAGCCGCACGCACTCTTCCTTCTTGGTGATGTCGCCGGGCAATGCGTGGAGACTGCCCGGTCCGTTGCTGTACTGCTTGACCACGGCGTCGAGCGCCTCCTGTCGCCGGCCCGTGATGTAGACCTTTGCCCCGTTGGACTGCAGCGTCTGGGCGATCATCAACCCGATGCCCGTGCCTCCGCCCGTCACGACCGCCACGACGTGCGACACGTCAAAGAGCTTGCTGGCCTGCAGGTCTTCATTGGGCAGATGCGACGTCTTGACGGCACTCATGATGGAGCGGACCTGGAAGATTTGGTGATTCGGACCTCGCGAGATGGGGTTTAACAGTGCTATACTAGTGCAGGTCCTACTGCAGGGTTTGTGAAGTAAGAAAAGTGTGCAAAACATGGCACAGAGCACTTCTTAGGATATACCCAGTACATATATAAACGCATGTACACTAGCTCACTCAATCCCTTGTCATCTCAGGATCCTCAGCCGTGATCATATTGCTCATTACATTGAATGGCATAGCATAGCGTTGTATAGCGTTGCTCCATAGGGAAGGGGGGGGGGGAGGGTCAACGATGCAATAATGACGTTTTGAAGACATATACACGTCCATGTACTCCCTCTGTCCCTCCCGCTTCCTCCCACCAGGGGACGGATTATACTCCGTACGCCTAAACAAAACACTAGGGATCAAGGTATCTATCTACCTGGGTACCCCACGCTGGCCCGTTCCTCGCACGTCGGTTCAGGGTGGATGGGCACTGCGGACTCGACGCTTGACAAGGCCGTCCTCTTCACGCCATGCTATTTACCGTGGAGGATCTCATCTTAGCTGTTGACACATCACCATCAAGGTTATTAGCATGAGCTCTGCGTTGCGTATTAAATCTTACATCGAGAAAAGTCGGCATAGGTCAGAGAGAAAAGACTGTAACAGCGCTTGTTTCGTTATCAATACTTTTTAGGGTACAGGATATGTAACTTCCAACCCCCGACTCCGCCATTCCACGTTATACACTGGCGTTTACCCTCTGTCGTCAAACGCCACGTGAACAATAATCGTATCTTCGTCGGGATCATAGGGCATGAAGAGAAATGACACATAGCACAGACATGAACACAACACCAATCCTTTCGAACAAACCACGGCCCGCGAGTAGTCGCCTGGCTCCACTCTCTCCATTGCCCGTGGTCAGCCCGAACGGCAGCCCTTGGTACCCAAACGTGAGATTCTGTGGAATAGTCGCATTCAGACACTGTCCATTCACAATATCAAGACCAGCCAGATCGTCCGGTACCCTGAAGAACATGTAACTCTGCTGGTTGAGGTTTTTGAAACCTTCGGTGTTGTAAGGAAACTTGTCTCCAGGGTCTGTAGAGGAGGTATTGCGAAGGAAAATGCATTGGACTTGGCCGGGGTACTGTGTCGCCATCTCGGGATAATCGCGCATGACATCCGAATTGCTTGTGTCCGCAACCAGAATGAATTTGCGATGCGGGAAGCTCTGAAATATCTTATCCAGGAGGAATTTTCTGATGGACAGAGTGGCAGAGACGTCGCTGAAGTTTAGGGGTCGGGTGTCGAAACTACCACCTGGATTGAATGGTGAGATCCCAATCAACAGAGGCGGAAAATATCGCTTACCTGGATAAGTGTCGTAGATGAACTGCATGTAGTTGCGCGTGATTTGCTCCGGCGTGGTTGTGAGGTAGTGGAAATGCATGTTGGGCAGACTGACAGACCAGTTACGGTAGATGTCTGGCATGTTCAACCAAGGTGTAAACGGACGAGCAAAAGAGTTGAGGAGACCTTCCTTGGGCTCGTAGATCTTTGTCACGCGAAGGATGTCATCAATGTCGGAGATGATGGTCAATCCTTGGTCGGAGACGAGGTATGATGTGGCATTCCCTGTGTCAGTGCCCTGGGCGTAAACATTCAACCTTTGTGGTGGCACATCGCCAGTTCCCGAAGCCAACGTGAACGAGTTGTTGTCTATTGAGATGAAGACATCAAAGTCGCCCTCGGGGGTGGTTGGGTCGGGAAGGGTGACGACCTGCTCTCCACCAGCGGGAGTCACGCCACCACCTCCTCCAGGCTGTCCATTGGTGCCAAACTCGGGTCCAGGGAGAATGTCCATGGTGACCGTTTGATTCCCTTGCTGAACCACGTATATCTCCCTGGTGAGGTTGCGGGCCTGGGCCTGCTGTGATGGAGGAAGATCTTCAATGCTTGTGTCGATCAGGAAAAAGTTGGCGAGGCGGTCTACCGTGGCATTGGAAATATTTGGTTGCTTGAACACATTCCCATGTATCCGCAGATTCCAACCAGACGAAGTCCAATTCCCATACCCAGGGATGTTCAACACTTGTGTAGGTGTGGCAACCAGATCCGAGCTGCTCACACCCACCGAGCTCATAACAGCACTGCCCGTGGGTAGGTCCTGTAGATTGGGTAGGAGCCCATTGGAGACGTATGAGGGGATAGCCGTTCCCAGCTCGCTGAACACCGAGTTCACATATGAGTCCAGCTCTGACTCTAGATCGCTGACGATGTTTCGCCTTGCTCCTGCGTATGATCCGTATACTGCTAGTGTGCGAGTGGGTGCAGGTGTGATCAATGCTTCCTCTTCTGGGAGCACTTGAGTCGGCACTGCGGAGGCTTGTAATAGGACAAAAGAAGTCGCGAGGAGTAGGCGCAAAGCCATGGCTACTAGGTTGCCTTTCAATGTGATAACCTGGTCCTGTTAGCCACAGTCGAAATTGATTGAGGTGTAGGTACACGCACAAACAATACCGCCTTATCCTTCTCAGAATGTTACGCTCGCACAAGTCATTTAGCCTGCTGTACCCTTAAGAAGAACACCAACTCGAATACAGAAGAAGCACGCGATCCCGGACAGCGAAGAGGAGAAAAACGAAAGGCGATGCGTTGTGAGGCGCAGGATTGTATTGACAGAAACGAGTGACACTGGCGGAAGGTCCGGGGAGTGAAAATCAGGGAAGGTTACCTTGATTTGCTTGATCTGAGGCCCGCATCACCGTTGAGCATGGGTCGTGCATATCGCAGTCAAGCCTTGATTGAGTAAATGAGCGACTGGCTGAAGACTCGCAGACGCGCAGGATGGGGAAGCCAGAGATGGATGACGTCAAATGCCCTAAGAGGACTAGCCTGCCAACTTTATTCTGATAAGCAACGAGGCGTGCCGCGCACGTGCCAGGCACAAACAACAAGCCACACCTCACCAGTACATACTCGGTAAATATCCCTTCACCACCTGAAACCCCCAATGCTGACCCAGAACGAGAGAACAAGAATACCCTCACCCTAGTTATACTCACAAGTTTGCTCTCTCTATCTCTTGATCAGCCTCCGTGGACTATCTGTGATGCTGAAGGATACCATGTGCGATCTGAAGCGGATCGACTTCTGTCTCATGGAGGCCTCGAGTGAGGTAGGTGTCTTCTCGGAAACCGCTGACTTAGGGACCTTCGACCCAGCTCTGATTAAGCGTTATTTCTTGTTGTTACACCGTACTTGAGCTTTGTGTCTTGATATTTGCCGATAAGAAGCACCGCGCTGGCCATTTGAGGTCTCTCAGGCCACTATTACCGTGTTTTCCATCAGTACACTGGAATTTGAGCTCGACTATGGGATTGGCAGCTAATTGCCATCATTCCACCCTGCCCAGAATGGCCCAGTGGCGTACTCTCACTCCGTCTGGAATGCGCCAGGGAAGCTTATCTCGGCATATCCTCAAGGATGGTGTTCTGCATTCCACACAGGCACACCTTGAATGCTTGGTTTCTACCATCGCAGGCCCGTGCATTGTGGTCGATAGGGGAGCCGGGATGGAATGCAGCATTCTGGCTGTGTTGTTATGGTCTCGCGTCTTCCAGGCGTGATTCTTCAAAAGCCAACCGCCTCTGCCATTCTTCCTTGACCTTTTCCTCATTGACAGTCACTCGTTTGGTTTGGAGTTCTGCAGTCCTCCATTTCTTATCAATCCTGTTTTCAGTCTTGTTCTTCACAGAATACGGCATAAAAAAGAAAGCAACACGCTGGCCCGCCATGTGGCCATCAACGTCACTCCTTTTCTCCTCCCTGGCTCTGCGATTTGCAGCAGCGAATGCCCAAGCTCTGGCCACTGTCACTTACGGACCTAGCGGACCTTGTCCAGTGCCATCCGTCACCAGCATCGTCGTTGTACAACCAGGCTACTACAGCTCTTTCTTTCAGTCAGCCTCGCAGATTGTGAATCTCTTTGGCAACGGTGATACGGTTACGATTCAAAATGCCCCGACGACGTACATTACAAACACATACATTACCACGACCATCATCTCCACTATCACGAACGTCGTAAGCTCTTCAACCACGACGACTCCGTCTAGCAGCTCTTCCGGCTCTTCCAGCTTTCCCAGCCCTAGCAGCTCTAGCAGTGTGAGTGATGGACCGGTTACCACAACTGGAACTGCTGTTTCCTCGCCATCGACATCCGTTTCGATAACTTCCACCGTGACTTTGACCACGACAGCTTCGGGGACTTCATCAACTTCTACCACGGAATTCACGCCTATTCCTCCTCCTGCTACGACACCAACCCCGCCACCGGTCCTAACTTCTACGTCGGTTGATGCGCAGGGAAACACAATCCTCATCCCGATTACGCAGCCACCACTGGTTCTTGGCGAGGGGCTGCCATCAGGAACCGTGACAGATCTCCCATCATCATCAGCCATCATTGTAGGCATTGCAGTTGCCGGTCTGGGTGGAGCGAAGGTGAAGAGACAGAACTCAGGCGCCCAAGCTTCTGAGTTACTTTCGGGGGATGAGGGCGGCTCCAGCAATGCGTGTGACGTTGCCGTCAGGTATTTTCTACAACGCGGTCAACTGACAAATGGTACCGATGTGGTCGGCCGCAACACCACCGACTCTTTCGCCCTCATAACACCTGATCCCGATACCAATAATGTCACCACCGTGTTTTCGTTTGTTGATGGTATTCTGAACTGGGATTCGGCCGACCAAGGTGCTGCCACCTTCTATCGCTGTGGTGATAACAAGGTGTGGGCTGGATTTCCGTCTCCTCCTCGGCCTGATTGCTACAACGTCACCCTGGGCGGCATTGTTGCTAGTGCTTGCCCGGTCCCTTTCCGGGACCCGGACGCTACTGCCTCATCAACGACTAGCTCTTCCAGCACTCCAACTTCAACAGATGTGCCGACCACGACCCCCGAGACTACAACAACCCCCGAGGTGACTACAACTCCTGAAGCAACTACAACTCCTGAGGAGACGACAACCCCCGATGCCACTACAACCCCTGAAGTGACCACGACTCCCGAGACGTCAACGACCCCAGCAGCGACTACAACCCCCGACGAGACGACAACTCCTGATGCAACGACAACTCCTGAGGAGACGACAACCCCCGATGCCACGACAACTCCTGAGGCAACTACAACTCCTGAACTGACCACGACTACAACTCCTGATTCGGAGAATCCGACATCGCCCACGACGACACCTGAACCACCATCCTCGAGCGAGTCATCAGGTACTCCGTCTCCTTCGTCAAGTTCACCGCCGGTCGTCACAAGCTCTCTGTCACAGACTAGCCAACCTCCCGTGGTTTCAACCACCTCAAATGCGCCGCCGGTGACTACGGGACCCGTATTCACTAGCTCTCCATCATCTGCTTCGACAGGGACGAGCTCAACAAACGTAGGGCCTGCGCAATCCAGCTCGACCAGTGTTGTCCCTGCACAGTCAAGTTCAAGTATTGCCACGAGCCGGTCAAGCTCTACGAGTATTCTTGTGCAATCCAGCACGACTGCTATAGTCCCAACAACACCTGTTGTGACCACCAGCGGCACCACAGGTGGACCAAGCTCTACATCGCCTGCCGTCCAAAGTACAAACCCCGGTAGCTCGGTATTGCCTTCCTCTAGTGCAGCCCAGAGTACGAGCAATCCCAGCTCGACGACTTCAGCAGGTATAGTGTCTTCCTCTCCTTCCTCATCCACTGTCATCCCCAGTCCAAGCACTACATCCCTGTCCTCAAGCAACAACCCTGTGGTACCAACTACATCGTCCTCAGTACTGGTAGCTGGTACTTCATCTTCGACAAATGCAGCTACGACAGCTGGTGCTACTTCATCTCCAGCCACTACACTCGGTGAATCAAGCACAAGTTCATTAGCAGCAAGCTCCCCGTCGACAAGTACTGCTGTAATCAACCCTACGACGACAAACCCGATACCGACGACGAATCCATTACCGACGACTTCTTCAAGCCCGAGCTCTATGACTACAAGCACTTTGGTCACTACTCCGGTGCCGACAACAGCACAAGGAACAACTCAAACCTCGATTGTAGGATCTCCTACAACGAGTAACGCCGCTACATCCACTGCCATTGGTGGCACGACTAGTGCCAGCTCTGTTGTAAGCTCTGGTACGTCTTTCATTGTAGCGTCCACAAGTTCTTCTAGTCCTTCTACATCTCTCCCCGGTCCGTCCTCAACCTTGGATACCTCAAACAGCACTCCTGCTGGTTCGACTGTGCTTCAGACGACTGCGCCTTCGTCTACCACGTTGATGACCTCTGGACCACCTGGCACTACATCGTCAGTTCTTGTCACCTCAGTTGCCACGTCTTCGGCAGCTGTACCTACGACAGTTGTTTCATCAAGTTCTACTCCGAGCACGAGTGCCATTGGTACTACGACCCTCAGTAATGCTTCCGCTGGGACAACATCAACGGGTGGGAGCACCGCGGTCTCATCAGCACCTACAGCCTCTTCAGTTTCCTCTACTGCAGGCGGCGTCACCACCACCAATAATGCTGGGGCATCCTCGACAACGACGGCGTCAAGCTCGTCAAGATCGACTACCACGCCTTCATCCTCACCAGGCACTTCGGGAACATCATCCATGGGTGCGTCAAATGTCATTCTCCATCTAATTCTGTCATCCGTCCCCTCTCCGACTCTTCTTGTTCTGGTCCCCCTGAAAGGCGATTCCTTTGCGCTTTCCGAGCTACTTCTTGAGGCCCAACTATACGAAGTCCTAGTGCGGTGATCAACGAAAGCTTTTCTCCTGATTTCCAGGTTCGAAGCTCTTGTAACGACACCACTATGAGATATTTGTTATCAGTTGTTGGCTGAGCACGCCCTGGCTAGGTGTCACACCTCAATCTTCGGGCCAATCCTACGACATGTCCAGTGGTAGAAAGGACAGAAGAGCAATTGTTCCTGCATATTGACTTTGTTACTGGATGATTGCTGTGAATGTTGGCTAACGTGGTTTGATGAATTAGCTTCCTCGTCTTCTGGAACATCTGCGAACTCTCTGGGGACCACGTCAACGACCTCTGTCAATCAAGTCACGACATCAAATTCTCCATCTTCTTCGCCTCCAGCATCGAGCTCCACAACTTCTACAGGTGCTGCAACAACGACTACAGGTGCCACAGGTTCTACCACGACCAATGCGGCCAGTTCGAGCTCGGGCCCAACTACCTCGAGCACAAGCTCGACAGCGTCTACCTCGGCTGTGGGGACATCTACTACCACAACAGGCAGCGCCGGGACGAGTTCTTCTTCCACGGGCTCGACAACGTCAAGTACTTCCAGCACTACGAGTGTTGCTGGTACAGGCTCGACGAGCTCGACCACCGGCACGGCCTCGGGATCTGCCAGTACGGGGTCGACCGGATCAACGACCTCTAGCGTTACCACGTCGACCGTAACGAGCTCGACGGGACAAATTAGTACTTCTACTCCCTTTTCTACAACTGCCTCTAGTGTATCGTCGTTTTCCACTTCTACCTCGGGTTTACTGACTTCGATTTCTGTAGCATCCTCGTCGACGACATCCGTCGCACCGTCCTCGGCACCATCCACGACTACTGCGCAAGCCACGACAGTTTTGACGACGACTACGTTGTCGCCGCCCTCCACAGCCAGTAGTTCAACTGCCCCAGCTACGACCACTACTCCCGCGGCCAGTAGCAGTAGTCCCGGAGGCAGCCCAACCAGTGTCACGACCACCTACGCCCCACCACCACCTCCGAACTACTCAGTTCTAGCTGTGCCAGTCGCACTCAGTTCCGTCGCGCAGGCAGCTGTGGGCACCTTGTGCTCTGGAGTCAATGTCAGTCCGGCGGTTAGCCAGCCACTGCCCGTGACCACTGGTGCCTATAACTACCAAAAGGTGCAGCTGAACAGCTACCCAAGTGTTTATGAGGTCGAATGCTGGATGAATGCCGGCAGCACGGGTGGAACGGTTACTAACATGCCCGGGCAATACTTCTCGCTTGAGAGCTGTATGGACGCCTGCTCGGCCGCTGGACCTGGGTCGTGCCTTGTTGCTTACTGGGCCTCGACCACCAGGATCTGCTCCCTTTACAGCAGGGTCAACAATGGTGGCTCACCTAGCTTGGCTGGTGGACAGTCCCCAGCCAAGATTGTGGGCAGTGGCGTTCGAACCGCAAGACTCCTCACTGGTCAACCAGTGCCGAATGTGGTGGACGCAACCTATCTCCTGGCTCCTGGTGCTGACTTGGGTCTTTGCACCAACAACAACTACCACTTGACCTTTATCGGGGTGTACTACAACGGCGCCAGTGGGACAGGGCCTGCTACGATCAACGTGAACCGGGACAACATCTGGTACGCGTCTTGCGGAGCCTCATTCCAGAACGCTCAATCGGGGGTCCAAATTACGCCAGTTTATTCCATCGGGACACCGCTTTTCGGTTTTACCTCTGCTCCAACGACGCCGGACGACTGCGCCCGAGTCTGTCAATCATATCACAGCGCCTTCCTGCTCGCGGGCAACACCGGGATTGACTGCAACCTGTGGCAGTTCGTCCCTGCAGCCAGCACCCAATGTCAGCTATATCCCTCCAATGCCGGCGTTGTATCTGGCTCGAACCCGGCCACGCTGAAAGACGGACAAAACAATAACATCTTCGCCGCTGGGCTTCTTCGGGGCAATTCAGGGACGGAATTCTCGTCGCAGGCCCAATACAAGAAGCGATCTCTCGCTGGGCGTATGGAGTATAATCGGCGACATGCTCGGGATTCTCTGATCGACGATGGAAGTATCCCGGATGTCATCCTCAAGCTCGACAGGAGGACCGGGAACTGGACCGAAGTCTTGTGATGGAAGTTTGAGACGGAGCACACTTGTTGCTGGTGGTAGGGGGGGAGCCCAGGCGGTGATTTGGGCAATAAGCGGTGATTTGGGCATTTTGTGGTGATTTGGGCACTTGTGGGATGGGGATCAAACCATGTACGAGGCTACTTGTACTTTTCGTTCTGTGGGGATTCTCTAAAGTTTCTGGCTGAATGGAAACACTAGCAAGGAATCCATTCTTTGGGGCTTGATAGGGGATGCTCGTTCTAATACATTTTGTGATTTGACTGCAGGAAATGTCGTGTTGGTTGTTATGGTTATACCGACTTTGTAGACTTGTTCCTCGAATCCCTGGCTCTTGGCCACATAACTTTTTAGTCCTTGAATATTCGCCTATTGTGAACTTCCAACGGGTCGATGAGCGGCCCTCTAACCGAGATGAATTTATGCTTTTTGGCATTAATGGTTCGTATTCGTGATCGTATTCGTCGAAACCCACGAATCCCAAGCCCGACCCGCATCTAATGCGCATGCGGACGAGTCACGATCCTCTCTCACTTGTACTTTTCTGGGCAGCCAGGCAACATCTTGCCATATCATCCTCTCCTATTCTTCTCCCCACCATGAATGAAGTCTTCTCTTCCCTCTGACAACATGTTTAATAACCACTGACTGAGATTCCCAGGTGGAGAAAAGACACCTCGAGACAGACTGTTCCGAGTTCGAGGCAGATTCGAGGCAGATTCGAGGCAGACTCTGTACCGAACAGACACTTGCAAACCACGGCTTTCCTACTGGGTCAACCAAACTCATCCCTGTACCAACACACATGGGTAGACGTCCTCACACCCCTCGTCCTGTGTTTTGAACCAACGAAATTGCCATGGCTCCTCTGTACGAGTAAGCTTTGATTGTGGGGTTGAGAGGACCTTACTCCTATCCTTACTGTTAGTTGCCATTATCATGTCGAACTGGAACAGTTAAAAAGGACTTTGACGCCGGCCGAATAAGGAGGACTTGAATCTAACACATTGCGATATTGACAATGAGCACCATAGACGAGCAGGCGCCTGTCGCCGATACCAAAGTCGCCAGTACGCTGGTTGCCGAAGACACTGCCATCACGGTCAAGACGGACGAAAAGAAGCCTGAAAAGACGGAGCGACCTCCTTTCTCGAACTACTGGGTGTGTCGTCGCTGGTTTTCTAGGTTTGCAAGAGTCTACTGACGCTGCTTAGCGAATACTGTCTTTCCGCACGAGAAGAGATGGAGTTGCGCTGTGTATCAGTTGTCTATGTGCCGTTGGGTCCGGCACGGTAAGTGGTCTTGATCATCTTCGCATTCCAGGTCTGATGCATTGCCAGGCACTTCCGCTCATGAACATCGTCTTTGGAGATCTAGTCAAAGATTTCAATGGCTATTTCTTACCGAATTCGACGGTGACCGAGGGTCAATTCAAATCAGCCATCAACAAGAACTCGTACGTTTTGAGGGCTGGTTACCTCCAAAAGATGCATATGCTGATCATGGCAGTCTATACCTTGTCTATTTGTTCATTGGCAGGTTTGTGTTGACGTATATCTCGACGGTGAGCCCTCTGAAGAGACCACTTCTGTATGCTGGTGTCGATGCCCCGTTACTGACAGTCGCAGTTCTGTTTCCGCATCACCGGCCTACGTATCTCTGCCAGACTGCGACTTTCCTACCTCCAGTCGCTCTTCTCCCAGCCCATCAAGAAGCTCGATGAAGTCTCGGCCGGCACCGTCGCCAACACCATCACAGCTTCGTCCAATGTCATCCAAGTCAGTATCTCGGATAAACTCCACTCACTGTTCATGGCTGTGGCTCTGATTATTGCAGCCTATGCCATTGCTTTTCGATACTCGCCACTTCTCACGCTCGTCGCAAGCTCCTCCATGGTCTTCGTCGTCATCGTCTACAGCATTACAACCCCTTTCTTGATCAAGAAAGTGGCCGAGGTCGAAAAGGCGGATGCAAAAGCTGCTTCAATAGCCGGGGAAGTCTTTAGTTCCATTCGCGCCGTTTTCGCGCTGGGCGCAGAAAAGACCCTGACCAAGAGATACGATGCAGCCGTCGACGAGTCGCAAAGGTGCGGGCTCGCCACGTCACCGCTGTTTGGCCTTCAGGTAGCCCCTGGCTTTTTCGCCATGTACGCGAGCTTTGCGCTCTCCTTCTGGTTCGGACTCAAGCAATTTCGGGAAGGCCATATTGACAACATTGGCACTGTCGTCACGTATGTCCTCCTGCCATCACATTCAGCCGCTGCTAAATAAACTAACAGGGTGTTCTTTTCGGTCATGATCGTAATGGCTCTGTTGGGAGTCCTAGCCACGCCCATCATGGCGATCACGAAGGCGATCGGCTCCTCGACTGAGTTCTTCTCCATGATTGATGCTCCCAGAGTCTCGTATGAGGGTGTTGCTGAACCCGACGTGTCGGCACACAACGACATCGAATTCGACAACGTCAACTTTGCCTATCCCAGTCGTCCCAAAGTCCAGGTCTTGAAAGGGTTCAATGCTCTCTTTAGGAAGGGCAAGACAACTGCTTTAGTAGGCCCTTCAGGATCGGGAAAGAGCACTATCGTGGCTTTGCTGGAACGTTGGTATGAGCTGGATGGAGATGATCTTGAAAAGAACGAAGCCACACCTGCCGCCGAGACGACGGAGAAGGACGAGGAGCGACCGCCCAAAAACGAGGGCCTGATCTCGATTGGTGGCCAAGATATCAAGGGCACCAGTCTGAAGTGGTGGAGATCACAGATTGGCCTGGTCCAACAAGAACCGTTCTTGTTCAACGACACCGTCTTCAAGAACGTTGCGTGCGGGCTGAATGGGACGGCGTGGGAGAAGGATGACGATGCAGCCAAGCAGAAGAGAGTCGAGAAGGCCTGTCAAGAAGCCTTTGCGGACGAATTCATCCGTCAACTCCCTGACGTGAGTGATTTTTTACCACTATGCTTGTTGGCCACAATACTGACGTAGGGGGTAGGGCTATCAAACACGAGTCGGGGAGAGCGGTATCAAGTTGAGTGGCGGACAACGGCAGCGCCTTGCCATCGCCCGCAGCATCATCCGTGAGCCTGCGATCTTGATCCTGGACGAGGCCACGAGTTCGATCGACGTGCGCGGCGAGCGGATCGTGCAGAAAGCCCTGGACCAGGTGTCCAAGAACCGGACGACGATCGTGATTGCTCACCGCCTCTCCACTATCCGCAAGGCCGACAACATCATCGTCATGCGCGACGGACGGAAGATGGAGGAGGGTACACACCACGACCTCGTCGCGATCCCCGACGGAATCTACGCGGGTCTCGTGCACGCACAACAGCTCGAGGCCGAGACAGCCCCTCCGACAAACGATGCCATTGAGGCGTCCGAAATAGAACAGCTTGAGAGAAAGGACACGGCTGCCTCGGCCAAGCCGCAGGGAGAGAGCACTGCGGGCTACAAAAACAGGGGCTTCGTCATGTCCGTCGGCCGAATATTGTACGAGCAGCAGAAATACTGGGGTATTTATGTTTTGGTTGTGATTTCAGCCATGGGGGCAGGCTGTAAGTTTCGAGCTATTCCATTGACACACGGATGCTAGGGGCAGGCAGAGACTAACGAACATGAAACAGCGGCCTTCTCACTTCAAAGCTGGATCTTCGCCCAGCTGATGGAGGTCTTTACCTTTACGGGCCAAAAGTTGAAGGACAGAGGCGACTTTTGGTCCTTGATGTTCTTCATCCTCGCTTTAGGAATGCTAGTGGCCTATGCCACCCTTGGGTTTTTTTCCAGCCATATCTCCGTGGTAAGTCAGGGGGTTGTTCAACTTGTGCATAAAGAGAGTTCATGGCTTGCTGGGATGCTAACGAACCAACGCAGCTTGTATCGTCCGTCTATCGGCGCGAACACTTTGCAAATCTCCTCCGGAATCCTGTCTCGTACTTCGACGCTGAAGGCAACGCCTCGGGATCACTCATGGCCCGTCTGGCCACCGACTTCAAGCTCCTCGCCGAAGTGTTCGGCCTCAACGGCGCTTTCCCCTTGGTGTCCTTCTTCAACATGGCCGGCTGTATCATTATCTCCTTCTACTTTGGCTGGAAGTTGACCTTGGTGACGTTCTTCTCGGCCATGCCCGTCGTCATAGTCGCCGCCTTTATCCGGGTCAAATACGAGGTCCAGTTCGAGGAGTGGAACGCAAAAGTCTTTGCGCACAGCTCGCAATTTGCGACGGAAGCGGTCGGCGCCTTTCGGACCGTTACCTCGTTGACCATGGAAGACTCGATCCTCAACAAATACTCTGATCTGCTGCAGGAGCAGATTCGAGACGCGACTCGCCGAGCGACCCATGGCTGTATTGTCTTTGCCCTGTCGGACAGTATCGAGCTCTGTGCCATGGCCCTGACTTTCTGGTGAGACTTATTTTCTTACGTTTGTTCTACAAAGAGACGGATTGGCTGACAAAGATCCTTTTCTTTCTAGGTACGGCGGACAACTTTTGGCTTCGCGTGAATACAACATCATCCAGTTCTTCCTCATCTACTCGGCAATCGTGCAAGGCGCACAAGGCACTGGCCAGTTCTTGAGTATCTCGCCCAACGTTGCGAAAGCCACCGGGGCAGCCAACCGTATTCTGGGATCTCGATACATTGGGGACGAAGATACCAAAATGTATGGCGTGGGGACGCCGTTGCCACCAAGCGAAAAGAGGACAGGGGCCAACGTCGAGTTCAAGGACGTCGGCTTCAAGTATCCTACCCGGGAAACCCCCATCTACCGCAACCTCAATCTGTCGATCGAGAGCGGGCAGTTCGTGGCCTTTGTGGGTCCATCAGGTTGTGGTAAGACCACAGTGATCTCGCTGCTGGAGCGATTTTACGAGCCCGTCTCGGGCACCATCACCTTCAACGACCGCAACCTCAGAGACATTGAGATGGTGTCGTACCGCCGCGCGCTGTCGCTGGTGGCGCAAGAACCTAAGCTCTTTGACGGCACGATCCGCGAGAACCTGGTGCTGGG